TCCTCTTGTTCACCCACTCACTCAGATGAAATGCAAAAGGTTGGTATTGTATCAAGTCTTTAAAGCCTCAGTATGGAGCTAGCAGTAGTGGTCAGTCTTAAACCCAACTAAGTTCTTAAAAATAACCAAATTATTACTCAAATTGATCATGGCTTCTCGTTTTCCTGTTTGAACACTGAAAATATTCAGAACATTGTGAGATATAATTTTATATTAATATGTAGCTTAGAGGAATTTCATATGGAAGGAGTACATTTTTTTAATTCAGGATATTATTGGGGTACAAACATTTTATTTACATGAAATGCATTTGCCTTGCCCATGTCAGGGCCACAAGCATGTCCCTCCCCCACACTTTAGCTGTGTATTACCCCCAACCCGCTACTTGACCGGCACCCAATGAGTATCACTACCATTTGAGCACCTCAGTATGGATCAGTTAATACCAATTTGATGACAAGTACATGTGGTGCATGTTTTTCCATCCTTGTGATACCTCATTCCATCCTTGTGGTAGCTCGTGAAGGATGGGCTCAATCTCTACTCAGGATAATATAAGAAGTGCTAGATCACCATTGTTTTTTGTAGTTGAGTAGTATTCCACGCTATACATATATCACATTTTATTAATCCATTCATGTATTGCTGGGCATTTGGGTTGTTTCCACATCTTTACAATTGTGAATTGTGCTGCTATAAACATTCAAGTGCAGATGTCTTTTTAATAGAATGTCTTTTTTTCCTTTGGGTAGATGCCTAGTAATGGGATTGCTAGATCAAATGGTATTTTTATTTTTAGCTCTTTGAGGTATCTCCAAATTACTTTCCACAGAGGTTGTGCTAATTTGCAGTCCTACTGGCACTGTAAGAGTGTTGCAATCTCTCCACATCCACACCAGCATTTGTTATTTTGGGACTTTTTGATACAGGCCATTCTCACTGGCATTAGGTATATTTTTACCACATGTATTCATAAATGTTTATGTCTGTGCTACTCTGTTCTTGGTTCCTCCTTCTAGATCCCCTATTTCAGTCACTCAATATTATCAGTTTCTTCCATCACAAAGTTGTTGCTGACATATATTCCTGTCATTACTGTCATTGTTCTAATCTAAAATGTTAATCTCTCAACATGAATTATCTTGACAACTGCCTAATAATATCCTGTTTCTAATCTCTACTCCATATTATTTATCCTGAGCAATATCACATATACATTATCCAAAAACAATATTTCAATTAATTAAGTACTTGCTTGAAATCTTCCAGAGCCTTCTGGCTCCCACATTTGAACTTCATGCACAGAGCAATCAGGAGTTTGCCAAAATCTGTGTCTCTGAGGACTTTGTTCCCATTGCTACATGTGTTTTTACTTTGTTGATTAGACTGCCACCAATCATTAGTAACCTCTAGAACTGGGTCACCAAGGACTATTTTGTTGTGCACACAGATGTTCCCTGTGCACTGGTAGCAGACTAAACATATAAAAGAGATGTTGCTAATATAGAAATTGCAGGGAAGCCTGCTTCCCTGCCCAGGACAATCAGATGTATTCCCCTGACAAAACTACAAAGAAGTGTTTCTTTTTCTCTATATCGCTCTTTCTTCCTTTGAACTAACACAGTAACTGGTAAATCTAGTACCAGAAGCCATTTTATTTGGCAAGGGAAGAGGAGACTGAAACTGGTTTCCTTATATCAGTAGCAATTGTAACCTAGAAGAGAACTGTCCGTTGTTGAACTTGCCTGTGAGAAGGTGTGTGTGTCTGTGTGTGTGTCAGGTGACTGGGTGTGTGTGTGTTCATGCACATGCCTGTGCTTGGGTGGAGGGTGAGGTTGAAGGTTGAAATAGGCGGAATACAAGACTGGAGACAGAAGTGCACAAAAACCTCCGCATCCACTTAATGTTCCTCAAATTTTGGCTCCCTCAAAAACCTTTAAGGAACTGTCAAAAAAGTAAGTATCTAATTGTTATGACCTGTTGTTTTTCCACATTCTTTAAAGGTAGGCAGAGGGTGAGTACAGTCAGTTTTAAAATCTGGAATTCAGTTCATTACAATTGATACTTCAGAAAAGGGGTCAACAAGCATTTCTGACACATTTTTCTGAAGGAACATAAAATTAGAATTTTTCTACCATGATCACTTTATCTTTTGAAAGAAAGAGCTGGCCATAACTGTCAGTTGAAGAGGCTGTTAGTATTTGTGTGTGTGTGACCAAGTGGGATTTATTTTAGAAATTCAAGACTGGTTTACATTCAACATCAAACAAAGCAATTTATCAAATTAACAGAATAAAAAAGAAACACCAAATGATCATCTCAACAGAAGCATAAAAAGTATTCAACAAAATCCAACATCCACTCATGATAAAAACTCTCAGCAAACTAGGCATAGTAGGAAATTTCATCTACCTCTTAAAGGCATGTACATAAAAATCTACAGCTAAAACCATATTTTATGGTAAAAAACCAACTGCTTTCTCCCTGAGGTCAAGAATGAGACAAAAATGTCTGTTCCTATGACTTTTTTATTTTTTATTTTTTTTATTTCAGCATATTATGAGGGTACAAATGTTTAGGTTACATATATTGCCTTTGCCCCACCCAAGTCAGATCTTCCAGCATGTCCATCCCCAAGACGGTGTGTACCGCACCCATGACATGTGTATGTACCCATCCTCTCCTCCCTCCTCCTATCTGCCCGATACCTGATGAATGTTATTTACTGTATATGCACTTAAGTGTTGATCAGTTAATACCAATTTGATGGTGAGTACATGTGGCGCTTGTTTTTCCATTCTTGTGATACTTCACTTAGTAGAATGGGCTCCAGATCTATACAGGATAACACAAGAGGTGCCAGATCATCATTGTTTTCCGTGCTAAGTAGAACTCCATGGTATACATATATACCACATTTTATTAATCCACTCATGGATTGATGGGCACTTGGGTTGTTTCCACATCTTTGCAATTGTGAATTGTGCTGCTATAAACATTCAAGTGCAGATGTCTTTTTTATAGAATGTCTTCTTTTCCTTTGGGTAGATGCCCAGGAATGGGATTGCTAGATCAAATGGTAGCTTTACTTGTATCTCTTTGAGGTATCTCCATATTGCTTTCCACAGAGGCTGTACTAGTTTGCAGTCCCAGCAGCAGTATATGAGTATTTAATAGACAAAAGTATAAAAGTGTGTGGAAAACATAACTCCACCCAAAATTATCAAAATTATCATATAAGGCAGATAATATCAGTATTAGAAATTTCCTTACAGGAAACCTAACTTATTATCCATTAGTTATTTAAGTACTTTTTGCCATGTTTGGAAGAGGCACAGTATTCAGACTCTTCTTAACCTCAACTATCCAGTCTATAAGCAGCCTCTGTCCCAAATGAAATGAGGTTTGTTCCAAACAAAAGTAAGGTCAAAGTATCTGAAACATATTTTAAAATTCACTAAATACAGAATCTATGAAGGAAAAAACTGAGTTGTAATCACTCTTACAGTTACCAAAGTAACAGTGAGAGTATGCAGTTTTGCATAGGTTAAGTCATCAAGGACTACCTATTAATGTTAATTGAAAACACTATTTATGGGAGGAAGGTGGCAAAATTTATTTATTTAATAAAATTGTTTCAAACTTTAATTGCTGTGAACTAAAAAAACAAATAACTCTCAGATTCCCAGTAAATTTTTCCTAATATAACATAGAACATTTGTATGATTTCTGTAGATAAACTTCAAAGGAAGTAATCTTATATCCAAAGGATCTGACACTACACGCTTAACTGCATTGTTAAAAGTAATGTTTATTAGCAGATCAAATGGACACCCCAAGGGAAGCTTTGAATTTGGAATAAAACCTTACTGTATGATTTTTAAAAAGTAATGTTTATTTAACAATCTTCATAAATTAAAATGCAATGTCCCTGAAGGACAACATATTTTAGGCACTTTAAACATTAAAATAATAAGCATTTAATGCTAATATTATTGAGTTCACCACTCTTTCCTAACAATATAGAAGAATAAAAGATATGATAAGAGAAGGAAGGAATAATTTTAAAAGTGAGGAATGTCCTAGGAGAAGGAGGACTGGAATGAGAATGTCAAGAGCAGGTATAAAGATTTAAAGTAGTCTACAAAGAAAGGACGAGAAAAAAGGAAAGGGAAAAATCAGGAGTGCAGAAATGAACCTGGCCTAACACTCTGATCTGTCAATCAGAGCCTTCCCTTTGCAAGTACATGGCAAGATCCCATCTCTCCAGTAAACTATTTCTCCCATGAGCCAAGAACAGGGGTGGGAGGGGACAGTTTTCTCTGTTTCAAAAGCATGTCTGTGACCCCCAAGCAATGTGCCTTGCTAACTCAGCCTTAGGTGACAGCTGACACTACCAACTTTAGTAAAAAGAAAAGAGCCTAAGGAAACTAAGTGAACATAGGAAAATATGAATAGCTACCTGTATAACTAAGAGCAATTGTCAAGGAACAAGTAGTTATTTCCCCAAACCCAAAGTTGCATTTTCACGTTATCTTGTATTACCATGTCACTGAGAATGCACTAAAATGCACTATCTGCCACTTGTAGTCTGAAAGCCCTTTTAGGCAGCAACTTGTTTATAGCTGGATCTCCAGTGTTTGATATTATGCTCTGTAAATAATAAGTATTCATTAAATATTTATTTGAATGAATGAATATTGATTATTTACTTGAGTATTAGGAAAGAAGAGGAGACTAAAGTATTTTTGATTCTCAATTGGGTACATGCACATCGGGTACAATTAAGGCAATTGTTTAATACATAGGAAATTAGTTTTTCCTCTCATGTAAAAGTTTGTAGAGTTTTCCTATAAAACCTTGAGTTGTTTCTAAAATTGCTCATTTAATAATTAATCCCTACTAATAAGACAAAAAGACATATAGCAGATCCATGTATTAAGTTATTACTAACTACTGGTATCCCTGTGAGAATGAATTTATCACCTTTTCTTTTATAGGATGGATATCTGAGAGCAGCTGCTTGAAATATTAATCTCAACAAAGGTAGTTTAGACATAAAGAAGAGGGAAACTCCTTCATCTAATGGAATTCCTGGACAAATATAAATTTGTGTATAGGAAGGCTTGAAACTGCAGAGAGGTGTTGAAATGGACAGCAATAAACACCAAAGAGAAAGGTAGGGTATTTTATAATTTGTTTACAAAGATTGGTTTATACAGGTCTGTTGGTTCCTAGATATTACTTGGACAAGTAGATATATCAAAAACTCAGAGAACATGAGCAGCTGCATTAGGCAGGTAATTAGTAAATTGTTGGGGAGAGGTGATTTGAGGAAGGAAGCAGCAGAAATTTTTCAAAGAAGAGGTCATGAAGTTATGTCTGGGAGAGACTCAAGATATAGTGCAAAGAGCACAGGTGAGCCTGGCTGGCAAAGAAAGCAAATATCACAGATTCCTCTTCTGGGCTCTGTCCATGACCCAGACCATCACAAAACAACTAAGTCAGGTTTATGTTCATGTTCTAGAAAAATTTTCTTTATACCACTTCAAAGGGTTTAGGATCCCTCTCCCAGTCCCAAAACTGCCTTAGAAATACTTTCATTCACCTAAATACGGGGACAACAAAACAAAAATGCACTTTTCTATTTTAAATTTTTCATCCTTTATTTAGAGATCATTTGAAGTACAAAGAGCTAGAACTAACACTTTTTTTTTTTGAGACAGAGTCTCACTTTGTTGCCCAGGCTAGAGTGAGTGCTGTGGCATCAGCCTAGGTCATAGCAACCTCAATCTCCTGGGCTCAAGCGATCCTACTGCCTCAGCCTCCCGAATAGCTGGGCCTACAGGCATGCGCCACCATGTCCGGCTAATTTTTTCTATATATATTAGTTGGTCAATTAATTTCTTTCTATTTATAGTAGAGACAGGGTCTAGCCCTTGCTCAGGCTGGTTTTGAACTCCTGATCTTGAGAGATCTGCCCTCCTTGGCCTCCCAGAGTGCTAGGATTACAGGTGTGAGCCACTGCGCCCAGCCAGAACTAACACTTTTTAAATGAATGTGCTGCTGTTAAAATTCATCATAAGAATATTAAATGATCAGCATAAAATGCTATTTAACAGAATTTAAATACTATTTAACTATTTTCTTGGTCTTGAAAATAGGGAATTTCAGTATGGTAGGGAAAAGCAAAAAAAGATGAGGATGGAAGAAAAACACTTCAAAATTGTCATAATTTCTTCCAGGATAAGGAAAAATAATATCTGCACCTCAAGGTAATATTGTTGAGAAACTGCATACCAGACTTATAATTTATGTTTTGTCTTGCTTCTATTTGACACCTTTATAAATATGGTTTGTAATCAGAGAATTATAAGCATAAGATTTATATTAGATATTTCCTGTAGAAGCCTCCTAGTAAGATGTCAAAGGCATAGCTATGTTAGTAAATTGATTATCAAGTAAAAGAAGTTTAAGTGCATGTGAGCTGGCTTGCTAGGATGTTTTCATTCAGATTCCAATGCCAGCTTCTTATGACACTTCTCTTTTCAGGAACAATTGCCCTTGACTTGGCTCAAGGCAGTGATGAGAAATCACACAGCAATAACAACATTCATCCTGCTGGGATTGACAGATGACCCAAAACTACAAGTTGTGCTTTTCATATTTTTATTTGTCACCTACATGTTAAGTGTGACTGGGAACCTCACCATTATCACCCTCACACTTTTGGATTCCCATCTTAAAACTCCCATGTACTTTTTTCTCCGAAATTTCTCTTTCTTAGAAGTCTCATTCACCACTGTCTGTATTCCTAGATTCTTATACACTATGACAACTGGAGATAACACTGTTACCTATAATGCTTGTGCTACCCAATTATTTTTTGTTGTCCTTTTTGGAGCAACAGAATTTTTCCTCCTGGCTGCCATGTCCTATGACCGCTATGTGGCCATTTGCAAGCCACTGCATTATACAACCATCATGAACAACAGAGTCTGCACTACATTCGTCCTCTGCTGCTGGCTTGCTGGCCTGTTAATCATCCTCCCACCCCTTGGCATAGGCCTTCAGCTAGAATTCTGTGACTCAAATGTGATTGATCATTTTGGCTGTGATGCATCTCCCATTCTACAGATAACCTGCTCAGACACAGCATTTATAGAGAGAATTGTGCTGAGTTTTGCTGTGCTCACACTCATTATCACCCTAGTATGTGTAGTTCTCTCCTATACATACATCATCAAGACCATTCTGAAATTTCCTTCTGCCCAACAAAGGAAAAAGGCTTTTTCTACCTGCTCTTCCCATATGATTGTGGTTTCCATCACCTACGGTAGCTGCATCTTTATCTACATCAAACCTTCAGCAAAGGAAGGAGTGGCCATTAATAAGGTGGTGTCTGTGCTCACTACTTCAGTAGCCCCTTTGCTTAACCCATTTATTTATACACTTCGAAACAAACAAGTGAAAGATGCGTTCAAAGACACAGTAAAACGGATTGCACTTCTCCTAAAGTAAGAAACCATTGATTTTTTTTTGAGACTAAGATACATTCAATTTAAATCTAAATAGCCCAGAAGCAACATTAATGAATTTGCCAAATATATAATTTCTTTTTATTCTGTAGATTCAACAAGTTAATCTTTCACCAGGAACATTTTTTCTCTTATAATACAAAAGCCAAAATCAAGCAAATTATTTCTCTTTCTTACAGGTTTATTTCAGAAGGGTTTATTCAGTTATTGTATACTCCAGAGGTTAGATTCTCAAAAATGCCTAATAACCATTGTAAATAAGTAAAAGTTGTATCTCTGGTCATATGGCCTTCTCATGATGTGGAATCTAAATGCCCAGAAACTATTTCTCTCTTGCTGGGGAATACTTCAGTACCTAGCCCCCAATTGTTCAAGAGTAATTAAAGATTCTATACTGAAACTTAAATGGTGATGTAAAAAAATTATGTACTCCAGAGCGCTTTCTCATTTAAAAATGTCCATTTTTCAGGAGTGGGTAGAAAGAGCTAATGGGGAAACTTCAAAATCTGTGTAGACAATTATATTCTTCCTTTTAAACTAATTTATCCACAGAAGACATTTTTACTAGCCTTTATGGAAATTCTTTGGATATACTGAATCCTGACATGTGCTATGACTACAGAAGAGTAAAAACAAGATTTCCAATTGCCAGATGTCTTCTACTGACATTGCCATGGATGGTATTTAGAGATATGATGAAGGAGAATAAGCCCTGAATTTAGAGGCAGGATAACCAAATTATGAATGGGTAAATTTGCCAGCTATCCAGACTTACATTATCTTTTTGTTAAAGAAGAATGTTAGGCTGGAGCGGTGGCTCACACCTGTAATCCCAGCACATTGGGAGGCCAAGACAGGAGGATCACTTGAGGTCAGGAGTTCAAGACTAGTGTGGGCAACAAAGCAAGACCCCAGCTCTACAAGAAAAATAAATGAAGAAGAATAATGTTAGAGATTAGGAGGATAGATCACCATATCAAAAAAAGTTCATGATTTGAAAGGACATTCCAAGGTTCATTTGGTTGCTTAGCATAGGCTGACTACTGCAGGTAAAATCTAGGCAAAGTGTAAAAAAATTGAGTGAGCCAAGAGAAGAAGGAAAGATAATTTTTAAAATCAGGTAATAATTATGCAGGTAACTTGGATAAAATAATTGGAATTTTTTTGATTGAATGTTAAAAACAGTCTTTTTATTATTTTCATGTTATATGATTATGAAAATAAAGTTTCATGCTTTCAGAATATAAAAATGACTATTATCTATGTTTATTAAATATCATCTAGCTGCTCAAATGTATTTTATATTTTGATCATATTTACAATTGTTCATACAAAGTCATGACCATACAAAGTCATACGATGGGTGTAAGCTTCTTTTATACTTCAAAAATATTCAATTAGAATGGCTATTATTAATCCAAACCTCAGTGAAATGCAAATCAAAACCACAATGAGATATCATTTATCTCCAGTAACAATGGCATTTATCAAAAAGTACCAAAACAATAAATGTAGGTGTGGATGTGGAGAGATAGGAACACTCATACACTGCTGATGGGACTGCAAACTAGGACAACCTCTGTGGAAAGCAGTATGGAGATATCTCAAAGAGCTACAAGTAGAACTACCATTTGATCCACCAATCCCATTCCTGGGCATCTACCAAAGGAAAAATAAGACATTTTATAAAAAAAGACTTCTGCACTTGAATGTTTATTGCAGCACAAGTCACAATTGCGAAGATGTGCAAACAATCCAAGTGCCCATCAATACATGAGTGGGAAAAGGAAAAATGGCAGAGTAAAGGTAACCCCCAAATTCCTGCTCCCAGAGGAAGAGACATAGATCTTGGTCTCCTGCACGTGAATGGATCTCCCCCCTACAAGGACAGCATCGTGAACCCACAGAGGTTCAGTGCAGGACTCTCAAAAATGGAAAACACAAGGTGATCAGGAGATATGATCGCATTCTCTGGAGAGTACAAAACAAATAATAGGGCATAAAGCATGGGAGGGCACTGGCCCCCCAGGCCAGGGAGTGAAGTAGGATCAGACCCACAGGAGAACTCCTTGCTTCCCATTGACCTTCCCACCCACCCAGCCAGGGACCTGTCTGAAGTTGGTGCAAAATTGCAGCAGGAGAAGAGGATGCCAGAGAGTGTGGTCATTAGTGGAAAGCACCGTGAACTCCCCTGGAGCCCCGTGCTAGGATGGCACCAAGAAGGGAAGAAACCAGACTGAGCTGATAGAGGAGGCAGTTAGATATCATGCCTCTGGTAATGAGCGAGGCCAGCCCCACAGAGCTATTCACTAAGTCGGAGACTCTAAGATGGAACTGCCTCTGGTGAATAAGTCTGCACAAGGTGGGTCAGTAAGAGCGATAACTATGGCTGAACAGGCATGAGTGGGTGGGAAGGCAGCATAGAGGAGACAACAGGGCGTCCTGATGATCCAGACCCCAAGCTGGCACCTGCCACCTCCTAAACAGTAGCCCCCAGTGCTAGTACCCTGTGAGTGGGCAAGTGGTGGCCACTGAGGGGGTCTACAGCCCAGCCGCCATGGTGCGATATACAATGCGGTGGGCAAAACCCCTCCCCTAGCCTAGAGACTCTCCTGACAAATTCCGCCCCTACACAATCTGCGATTAGCTGGCCAGGCCTGGCTACTGAAAAGACTAACAACAAGGGGAGTTACAGCCACTGGGGCACCAGGGTGCAGGGCAGACTGGGGAGCTACTTCCTCCCTCTAGCCTGCATCTTTCCTGCCAAAAGTGGTAGGCTCCACCCCTGGAGGCGAAGTGAGACAAGAAAAGCCACTCTCCCCCTGATCTAGGGTGAATCTGCTGGGCCTGTGTCCAGATCCAAAGCAGGCAGTCTAATGACTTTGCTTCCCAGAATAATTTAGGTCATCCAGTTGATCAAAATGCTAGGGCTGGATATCCTTCCCCGGTCAGTGGCCAACAGTCAGGGCCATGGTCAAGGAACAAATCCCCCACAAGTGGCCACAATAGGCTCCACAAGTTACCCTGCCCATCAGGGGTAGCCTTCCAAGTATGGTGGAAGAGCTCCCCCAAGTGGGAGATCAAGAAACCATAGAAGAGAGGACCCCTAAGTACCATATGAAAAAACATCAGCTGATCCAGATGGGGAGGGCTCAGTGAAAGAATTCTGGAACTACAAACAATCAAACCAAAAACACTCCCCCAAAGAGATACACCAGCTCTCAAGAAATGGATACTAACCAAACCCAAAACACTAAAATGACAGAAGAATTCCAAAACTATATTGCTCAATGATATGCAAGAAAAAATGGATAACCAACACAAAGAAACCACAAAGAAAATTCATGACTTGGAACAAAAATTCACTAAGAAAATCGAGATCTTAAAGAAAAATCACTCTGATCTCCTGGAAATTAAGAATTTATTCAGGGAAATACAAAACACAGTGGAAAGCCTCAAAAATAGGGTGGACCAAACAGAAGAAAGAATCTCAGAGATTGAAGATAACACATTCAAATCAAATAAGTTAATCACAGAGATAGAGCAGAAAAATAAGAGACATGAGCAAAGCTTACAAGAATTGTGGGATTATACGAAGAAAAATAACCTGCGACTCCTTTTGATTCCAGAGGAGGAAGAAAAAACATAAGGGTTGGATAAGCTATTTGAAGCTATAATTGATGAAAATTTTCCAGGTATAGCCAATAACTTAGACTTAGAACTACAAGAGACCCAAAGGACTCCTGGGAGATACAATGCAAACAGGAAAACACCACCACACGTAGTCATCAGTCTGACCAGAATATCAACAAAAGAGATCGTGCTACAAGCTGTAAGGTGAAAGAAACAAGATACATACAAAGGAAAACTGTTCCAAATAGCCCCAGATTTCTCAACTGAAACATTACAAGCAAGGAGAGACTGGGGCCCCATTCTCACTCTTCTGAAACAAAATAATGCCCAGTGTAGAATCTTATACCCTACAAAACTAAGCTTTATGTATGAAGGAGAAATTAAGACATTCTCAGATAAGCAAAGTCTGAGGGAATTCACCAAGACAAGATCAGCCTACAAGAAGTACACAAAACAGTGTTACACACAGAACACCACAATGAATACACACAAACATGAAAACACCCAAAAACCTAAACCTAAAGATTAAAAACCTAAACCAGATATCACAATGGCTCAAGAGAGAAAACAATGCAACAATGTCCAACCCAACAGAATGAATAGTAACCTGCTTCACCTATCAGTTCTCTCAATAAATGTGAATGGCTAACTTCCCCCTAAGACATAGCCTGGTGAATGGATAAAAAAAAATAAACAAGTTTCGTCTTCAGAAACACTTGTTGTTTGCATATAGACAAAAGTATAGGTACATTATGCAAGCAATAAGACTAAAGAAGTGCTGGTGAATTCTGATCCAATATTAGTTTAATACCAATCAAATGGAAATAGTCTTTAAATGGTGCTTTTATTAAAATGTTGAATGAGTCAGTTTAATAATGACATTATATCATTATATATTTATGCATCCCCATAATGGTGATCCAGATTCATAAAGCAAACTTAACTGATTAAGCAATTGATTGGTAGATCATAATACCTAGGATTCAACACCCCATTGACCGTTACACAGGACGATCTCCAAGAGGAATGAAAAGAATAATTGATTAAAAAAACTCTAGCAACTGGGTCTGACTTGAATTTATAGACATTTACCAAAATCACTGAATAATATGTTTTCTCATTGTGCTCACAGGACATTCTCTAATGAAACATATCCTAGGAACAAAGTAAGTTCAAAAATTTTAAAAATAGAAATCTTCATGATCTTCTCAGATCAAGTGGATAAAGTAGAAATCACCCTAACAAACTCACGATTACTACACAAAACATGGAAATCAAAACCACTACTACTAAATGACTATTCTAAAGTGAAGAATCAGATGGAAATAAAAATCTTTGAACCATAGATGA